GACCCTGTACTCAGAGTATGAGATCCTATTAGAGAGACCACCATTAACCATATGATCATGCAAATAAATATAGAATTACAAGCTGGATGAGAACTAAGAAGAGAGGTATTTGGCGTAGTCAGGAAGAGGATGTGGTACACTCTGCAGGTTAGGAAACTTTTTCTAGGGAACTGGTGACTCACCCAAGATAGATAAAATGAGTCTTTTTTTTCTTTTCTTATGTGTTTAGTCACGTATTGCTGGGTGGAAGGCTACAAACGTTTAAAGCTTTCCATGTTGTTGTTGTATTTTTTTTCCCCCACTTCTGTTACAGTTTATTTTATTTTATTTTTGTTACAGATGTTTCTCCTTTTTTACCTCATTGACAATCTCCCCCCGTCCCCCCAACTCCATCCCCGGCTTTGTTGTCCATGTCCATTGGTTATGTGTACATGCATATAAGTTCTATGGTTTATCTCTTTCTTCCCCCCACCACCCCCTCTTCTGAGGGTTGTCAGTCTGTACCCCACTTCCACATCCCTGAGTCTACCCTATTCCCCAGACTGTTATGTTCATTATATTCCACAAATAAGTGAGATCATGTGGTATTTGTCTTTTTCTGCTTGGCTTGTTTCACTTAGGATAATACTTTCCAGGTCCCTGCATGTCATCTCAAAGGATAAGAGATCTTTCTTTCTTACAGCTGCATAGTACTCCATTGTGTATATGTACCACTGCTTTTTGATCCATTCGTCTACTGATGGACACTTGGGCTGTTTCCAGATCTTAGCTATTGTAAATAGTGCTGCTATGAACATGGGGGTACATATATTCTTTCTGATTGGTGTATCAGGCTTCTTAGGGTATATTCCTAGAAGTGGGATCACTGGGTCAAATGGCAATTCAATTTTTAATTTTTTGAGATAACACCATATTGTTTTCCATAGTGGCTGCACCAGTCTGCATTCCCACCAGCAGTGTACTAGAGTCCCCTTTTCTCCACACCCTCATCAACACTTGTTGTTTGATGATTTGTTGATGGCAGCCATTCTGACAGGTGTGAGGTGATACCTCATTGTTGTTTTAATTTGCATCTCTCTAATGGTTAGTGATGTTGAGCATTTCTTCATATGTCTCTTAGCCATTTGTATGTCCTGTTTGGAGAGGTGTCTATTCATCTCCTCTGCCCATTTTTTAATTGGGTTCTTTGTCTTCCTTTTGTTGAGTTGTATGAGTACTCTATATATTTTGGAAATTGACCCCTTATCTGATGTATCTTTGGCAATGAATCATTTTTAGGAGAAGAAAATTGCACTTTAGAGGTGAGTGTTGTATTCTGAGTTAACTTGAAGGAAAGCCACGAGGCTGGAGTCTTGGGGGAAGGGGAACCACAGTGTTAAATCAGGCTGAATAACTGAGCATGTCATGTGGAGGCTGGGTATCTGGGTCAATAGTCCGAGGCAGGTGGGAGGCCATGACTTGATTTTATGCTGGGAACTGTCATAACCAAACTTTAACTTTAGAATGAACACTAACTGCAGTGTCAAGAGTAGATTAGAAATATTATTGGGGGTTAGGGTACAGGGAGTTCAGTCAGGGAGTCATTGCAGTAGTAGAGACCTGTGGTTTGACAGAAGGCAGGGGTGTGGAGTTGGAGAGAGGGGACAAGAGATTTTTTTTTTTATCCTCACCCGAGGACATTTTTCCATTTCTTTTTGTTCAGATAGAGTGGGAGGGAGAGAAAAAAGAGAGAGAGAGAGAGAGAGAGAGAGAGAGAGAGAGAGAAACATCGACGTCAAAGGGACACATCGAGTGGCTGCCACCCGCATGACCAACCAGGGCCGGGGACAAACTGCAATCGAGGTACGTGCCCTTAGCGGGAACCGAACCCGGGTCTCTCTGGACTGCAGGCTGATGCTCTAACCACTGAGCCAAATCGGCCAGGGCAGGGACAAGAGATTTTCAAGAGGTAGACAGTTCAGTCACAAGAAGGACTGACGAGGAGTGGACAGCACATCCCGGGGGGGGGGGGGTGATTGGGACAAGGGACATCTCATTTGTGGATTGACTCTATGTTAGAGCCTTCAATGTGCTTCTTCCTAGTTGTACTGTATCAGCTAGTGTCAAATTCTGGTCATTTTAACTAGCAATATTATTAACTTATCCCAATGTCACCAACCATGAAAAATTCTCAGAAGTCTGATTATGACTTTCCAATAGCCCAAATTGTATGTGACCATTTCTTCCCAGAAAACACATATTTTTTTCTTTGTTCTTAATGATGCAAACGATACAAGTTTAGAATAGAAAAGGAAAAGTGGACTCTTCATTCCTAAACACTCTGGGATCATTTATCAGAGGTAATCATGGTTATCAAGTTCTGAAATCCTTCAAGACATTTTCTATGCAGTTATACACCACACACACACACACACACACACACAAGCAGAGAGAGAGAGAGAGAGAGAGAGAGAGAGAAAGAGAGAGAGGCTGTGTGTCTGTATGAAATCTTTTTCTATATTAACGAAATCTTATACATATGAACCAACACATTAAATATGTTAAACTTGCAAACATTCCCACCATAGTATTTGCAAACCAACTTCATTCTTTTTAATGGTCAGAAAATCTCATGAATGGTTCACCTTAAGTTCACACTATCAATGGTAGTGGTTAAATTACTGGTTAGACCATTTTGAGTTGTCTTTGGCTTAAATAACAGAAGTTAATTTTCTCACAGTTCTGAAGGCTAGAAGTTCAAGGTCAAGGTTTCCCTGAAACTTCTCTCCTTGACTTAGGAATAGTCATTGTGCCCTGTCCCTACACAGTTTTCCCATGTGTGGGCATCCAGTGTGTGTCTTCCTCTTATTAGGGGAACACCAGTTATATTGGATTGGGGCCCCACCTCACTGGCCTCATTTTAATTTAATCACCTCTTTCAAGACCTTCTCTCCACATACAGTTACATTCTGAGCTACTGAAGGTTGGCACTTCAACATATGCATTTGGAAGGTAGGAACACAATTCAACCCATAAAAAGAAGCAGGTCAAGCCCTGGCCGGTTTGGCTCAGCGGTTAGAGCGTCGGCCTGCGGCCCGGAGAGACCCGGGTTCGGTTCCCGCTAGGGGCATGTACCTCGGTTGCAGTTTGTCCCCGGCCCTGGTTGGTTGTGCGGGTGGCAGCCCCTCGATGCGTCCCTTCACGTCGATGTTTCTCTCTCTCTCTCTTCCTCTCTCTCCCTCCCGCTCTATCTGTACAAGAGGTGGAAAAGTGTCCTCGGATGAGGATTTAAAAAAAAAACAAAAAAAAACGAAGCAGGTCAAGATGTATTGAAATAAGAATCAGTACTTCATTCCTGGTTGCCTTCACTCTCAAAGGAAAAAAGCAAAACACAAAACTGCTTTAAAACACTGAAAGTATGTTTTGGTAAAGTTCCAAAGAGAAATGCAGTAATGATATCCCATTGTGTTAGTTGAAGAGAAGAGACTGAAAATGAATCCGTCGGAACTGTGAAGTGTGGACTCCGACAGCAGTTCCCCTGGTGGCCTTGGAAGGAAATGACGTGGTAGAAGCAGAGGCTCCATTGCCAAGGTTTGAACCTCATTCTTGGCCAACGAGCGGGTGAACCACGGGGAAGAAATGGAATGTTCTACACAGGGAGGTGGGGAAGGGAATTTAACCAATGAATACTTTAGTCCAGGGTAAAGATCAGCAGGAGATAAAAATGAAAACACAAAAGCGGAGAAGAAACTGGACAGCAATACCCTGGCAGAGATGCTCTCTGTTTTGCAAAGAGAGTGGGCTCCAGGTCCGGTGAAGACGCTGATCTTGACAAGCCCCCAGACAGAGGAGAGAACACAAGTGAGGAGTCCTCTACCCGTTTGTGGGAGTAACCGCTGCTGCTTCTAAATGATGCTTATGAAGAGACAGCCGGGAACCTTTTCTTTAAAAATAGGTACATCAGATAACTTTATTTTTTTTCTGTGATAATGATCATTTATTGTGCAAGATCTTCTTAACAGTGTTTTAAAATAATCTTTATTGTTAACTTTATAAACAGCGTGATGATTTACTTGTAAAACCAATGGTAGCCCCAAAGGGGGCTTTAGGGGGAAAATGGGGATCTAAAACCCCCTTTTCCATAATCACCCTCAAGTCATAACATTCACCTTCATACACCCTTCTTGCATCCTCTCTCCCCCTAAAAACAAAACAAAATAAAGCTGCATGGAAGTAGAAGTAGCTGTCTGCTGTGCAAAGCTGTGCAAAACCAGATTCGTGGCAAATCTCTCCCGCCTTGATTTTCACCTTCCCACCCCTCTTAGCTGTAATTTCTGCAATCATGCATCTGGTGATGTTAAGAGGCACGGCCCCTTCCCAGCCGCAATGTCACTGGGCATGATTTCTGTATATAATCCCACACCTGGTTCTCTCCGTGAAATTCCCTGGACCTCCACAAATTTCCCCCTGAACAGGTTGCATGGCCAGTGCTGACCACCAGGGGGCAGACCCTGAATGCAGGGGCTGTGGGGGCTGCGGGCAGCGGTGATGCTGCAGCGGCCCGGGGTCGCACCCTGGGACCCGAGGGGAGGGAGCCCGATTCCATCCGAGGCCGCACGGTTCCACGATCCCTCCACGATTCCGTGGGTTACGTTGTTGCTGGGGCACTGTCTGCCCCGGAATCCGGTTTACTGGAGACTGGGCATTTGCGTTCCTCTCCCAGTGAGATAGCAATTTTGCAGAGCGGCCCGCTCGCACCCCGGGACCCCTGGGGCATGTGGGAGAGCGGTTTCGGCTCCTTCCCTGCAGGCCGAGGGACCCCGCCTCCCGGAGGGAGGGGGCAGACACCCCTCCGTGCTGTCCCAAGTGCAGCCGGCGGGGAGGGAACCACAGAAAGGCAGCTCCAGGATGCGTCCCGCCTGGGCCCGCCTGGGCCCGCCCCGCCCCGCCTGGGCCCGCCCCGCCCTGCCCTACCCCCCCCCCCCCCCCCCCCCCCCCCCCCCCCCCGCCCCTCCGGCCACCTTGCACCTCCGCTGGCGGCAACTCCGCAGTTAGCTCCTGAGCCCGAGCCAGCACCTGGGACCCAGAAGACCCGAGCGTGAGTTTTCAGCCGGAGCTCCCTGGTGGTGGGTGGGCCGAGCACCCCGCACCCCGCGCCCCCGGGTGCCGGAGGCGTGCCTGGAACTTTCCCTCAATCGTGTCTCTTCTTACTGCCAGGTTTTTGTTTCATTTTGTTTCACCGGTCTGACACTCTTTACTACTTGTTTCAAAACGCTTTTCTCTCGCCGCTTTGAGCCCGTGAGTCAAGACTTTGACACAGACGGGCGTGTGTGCCTGCCCACGTTGGCCTGGAGAGTTGAGGCTCAGCGTCCCCAGGACTTATTACTCACCTCCTGAGTTTTCTGTTTGTTTTTCCTGTAAAACTAGGGCTGCCCAGATTAGTAAAGACTTCCCTGGTCATCTCAGAGGTAGTCAACAGGAATTTGAGCTCCAGTACTGACCTCTGTCCTGCCTTTCCCCCTCCTGGACCCGAAGGTGGGGACCATGGACCCGCAGGCTTCAGGCGGGGAGCCGCTCTCTTTGTGAATTCACCGTCCTGGGAGCAATACTGAGAAAGAGGTAGTAGATTAAGAAATAATAATAATGGTATTTTATAGGAAATACAGGTCAAACCGACTAGAGATTTCGTGGAGAACCAACCTAGTAGGAAAAATAGTACAGAAAACAATGGAGAGGCCTGGAAATCTCCAGTGAAGCAGTCGCCTGTGCCTTATGGACAGTGGATGAGACGGGAGGGCTCTTAGGGAGAGATGTGCCTCGATCGCTTGAGAAAGATGCAGATGAGAATACATCCCGGGAAGAAAACCAGAGTGGTGCCGCCTAGATGTGAATGTGAACTAAAGGAACTGGCGTGAAGGGAGAAGAACAAGCCAGGTGGCTGACTTCTCGGGGAACAGGAGGGAGGAAGGCAGCCCGTGCCCCAGAGGGTTTTGGTATCTGTCTTAGTTTAGTCTTCCCCAGAGCAAAGCCTGGCAAAAAGGAGCTGAGTGCAGGTAGTTTATTTGAGGAGCACAGAACCCGGAGTGAGGACACGTGGGGAGGAAAAGACAAAGAAGGAGGAAAGGGAGCAGAACTGAGGACCCTTTGAGGGCCCTAGGACCAATCTCAGGCAGCCCCTGAAGTCAGAAGTGGCCAGAGTGGGCGTGGCACTGGCCCGGGAGCAGCTACTACAGGGCCCTTGTCACTTGAGGAAGCTACGAAGGGCAGCAAAAGGTCAGACACTGTTAGTGTTCACTGTGTACCCCAGCCCAGGTTGTGTTTTTACGTGCATTCTCTCAATCTTCAGAAACAGTCTTCGGAGAGATGGATGCTTTTTTTTTTATGAATGGGGAAAAGGAGGCATAACTAATTGATCCAGGAGGAGCCGCTTTGAGGGCGATAAGGAGCTTGGTTTTAGGAGCAGCGGATTTTAAAAGAGCTCCCCAAACCACAGAACGCTACCCAAAGAGATAAATCCAGAGGCGTTTCTAACTCGTAGAAGAAGCTGTCAGAACAAATGCAGTTTCTGAAAGGTCACCTGAGCTTTCTGTCCAGAAAAACGAAAGACTTAGCTCCTGCGCGTCACCTGTTGCGCTGACCCACAGGCCCTGCAGGACTGGCCCCTCTGCACCCCACTCAGGTCCTGCTCTTCCCTGCCCAGCTCCCTGCAGCTACCCTGTCACCTCTGTCTGAGGGACCCCTCTTCTCCTATAGCACCTGTCAGGTCCGAACTTAATGGCAGGTTTCAGCTTCAGTGTCACTTTCGCATAAACGCCTTTCCTGTCCTGCGTCTAATGCACTTTTCCTTGATGACACATCGCTATGTTTTATTTTCACGATAACACGTGTTAATTACTGCATTTATCTGTTCCGCTGAAATCAGATAAATTTATCTGAAATCGGGGAACTTGTCTGTTTCATCCTTGCTGCACCCCCGCTGCCGGCACCCGGCGGGGACCCAAGAAATGGTTCTTGTCTGAATGCATTCAGTCCTCCTCGCGTTCACGCCTCGCTCCCCTACTCTGACCACAGCTGAGTGACCATGGCGACATCTCCCGACGCTGCTTTCAAGGCCCTTATGAATGGAGTGACGAGCTGGGATGTCCCTAAAGATGCCGTCCCGTGTGAACTGCTTCTGGTTGGCGAGGCCTCCTTCCCTGTGATGCGGAATGACAAGGGCCAGGTCCTCATCGCTGCGTCCTCCTATGGCCGAGGCCGCCTGGTGGTGGTGTCCCACGAGGGCTACCTGCTGGATGTCGGCCTGGCTCCATTTCTTCGCAACGCAGTGGACTGGCTCCGCCCCTCTCCTCAGGCTCCCGTGGGAGTGCACACCTCCCTGGAACCACTAGTTACCATCCTGCAGGGCTCTGGGGTTGGGGCACAGGCTCAGCCAGAACCGGGAGACCCCGTGGGGGTTTACTGCATCAGTGCCTACAACGAAACCCTAACTGCAGAGCTGATCCAGTTTGTGAAACGTGGCGGGGGCTTGCTCATCGGGGGCCAGGCCTGGTACTGGGCCAGTCAGCATGGCTGTGACCAGGTGCTGTCCAGGTTCCCTGGGAACCAGGTGACCAGTGTGGCTGGAGTGTACTTCACCGACACCTATGGGGACAAAGACCGGCTCAAAGTCTCTAAGAAGGTGCCCAAGATCCCGCTCCAGGTTAGGTAAGTGATATTCCCTCTGGGAGTCTTCCCCCGTAACCCTAATCAGCTCTGACCTTCCATTCCCTTGCCAGAGTGTCTCCATTATTCCCTAAAGATCAATGAGCACAGTCTGTAACCGCCCACCTGTGTGCCTGCTAGTGCCTGTCTTCCAGCCCGAATATAGACTCCACGATGCACTGGCGTTGTCGGTGCCTGACGGGGCGAGGGAGCAACAGTTTGTAGGCCACAGAAAGTGATGAATACCTATGGGAGTGACGACCCATCCAAAGCCATAACGAGAGAAAGGGTGGCCTAGAACACGGGTGAGAACCCTGCAGACGGACAGCCTCACGTGGCGGAATGGACGGCCAGGGGAGCCGAGTCTCGGGGACGTCCAGCCTCAGCCAACAGCAGCTGGAGCTGACTCACCCCATCAGCGCGAAGGTCCGAGAGGCCCTTGTATGGAGCCCAGTTCCGATTCCTGCCTCTTTCACAGGGAAGTCCCCTCTGAGGTTCTTCAGTGAACTTCCCTGGCATTATATCCCGGTTGGCAGCTCCTGGACTGACCTGGCAGGTGCACTGACTGCAGATTCTGCTGAAAAGCCCGGGAACGCCTTCAGGAGGTTGCTTGCTCTGCCCAGGGAGGGGTCAGCTCTCAAAACCAAAAGAAGATCCGATCACTCATCCTTTCCCCAAGGGCAAAAGCTGACTGCACACCTGTTTATACACCTGGGGAGGATACTACAGTTACTTTTTTTTCTTTTCTTAATTGATTTTTTTAGAGAGGGAGAGCTAGCAATAGAAACATCCATGAGAGAGAAACATTGATTGGCTGCCTCCTGCATGCCCCCTATTGGGGATCAAGCCCACATCCTGAGCATGTGCCCTGACTGGGAATCAAACCTGCGACCTTTTGGTGCATGGCTCAACGCTCAATCTACTGAGCCACACCAGCCAGGCTGCAGTTACTTTTTTATATGCAAAATGAGATCCAAGTGCACTTGCTATTTTAATGCCAAGACACAAAAGGGTCTGGAGAAACCATTAAGCTCAGATCGAGAGCTCATTACCCTCACATGTTGTGTAACCCACAAGGTCTGGCACATGGCAGGAGCTGCTCACGTAAACGTAAATGCACGCTGGTAGCGTAGGGTCATGCATCTCGGAAAGATTCCGTGCTACCCCATTCACCTGTCACCACAGCCCCCACAATGCGAGGTCCTTGTCACACCATCCCCACCCCAGATGCACAACCAAGAGTTAAGAAAAACTTGAAACCACACATCCAAGAGCGATCATCAACGCCTTCTCACGCTGTAGGAGAAAGAACAAATTGGGTGAGTGGATATTTAGGAGAAACAGCCCCCAAGTGTAAAAGCAGCAGTGATTGGTGGAGGCAGAAGGGGGCTGAGTTCGCTCACTTCCAAGCACGGTGCTGGGCTGAACCGCACAAGTGCCTTCTGTCCCTGGTTGGGTGGAGTAGGCCTTTAGGTCCCCAGTGAGGGGAAGGACCAGTCCCCAGCAAGGACAGTCCTAGGCCCCAGCTGGTCTTTGCCCTTCAGAGAGTGCCAAGACCCGTAGGTGATCAAGTGGAAAGAAGCAATACACAGACCTCGAGACCATCTGAGAAGGCGGATGGTGTGAGCCTAGAAACAAATGGGCCCTGGGGGACTTGGAACATCACAGACAACTCAGCCACACTGCATCAGGACATGCCAAAGACCTGCCTACGCCATTGGTGAGAAAATCCATGTCACCGCCATACACAAATGAGCACATGGCAGTGTGGACAGGGGAAGTGACTCTCACCGCGTCCTCCGGCTGTTGTGTCAAGGGAAGAAGCAGGATCGAACCCTGACCACGAGAGCCTGGGCCCACCAGTGACCCGCTCGGCTGGAGAGGAGAGCGACACCTGAGGGAGAACCTCGGGTGGGCGATGTCATGAACGGTGGCTCTCCATACCGAAGGTTTTCTGTCATTAGGTGGGACTTTAGGAGGGACGTCTCAGAAGATTCTGGAAGAACTCATCAAAGAGGAAGCCAGGTCTACAAGCTGTCTTATAGCTCAATGTCATTACCTCCCCAAATAAGTCTAGAGTCTCCACAGGTAGAAAAAGCTACAGGCAACGCTAATGCCTGACCCTGCGTGACATTTGTCATGCGAGTTTGAAAGTAAGATGCCCAAACTAAGACATGGCACGTCCTCATTTCCATGCTGAAAAGAAATGAAGGAGAATCTGTAGAAGAGGTACTTTTTTCTAAAACATTTTGCTACTCAAATGAGTAAACTGTTTTTTAGCACTTGATTTTTATGACGAGACAACGTTTTAGAAAGAGAGTTCAAATCACCTATAATCCTACTAGTCAAGATGATTACATTTTGATGAGTATGGCTTAAATCCTGTTTCTGTGTCTGGTTTTGTGTTTTGTATCTCTTTTCGCTTTGTTTTGTTTTTGGCGTTTTGTTTGTGTTTGTTTTTACAAACTTTGGCTGATTTGGTACACAGTATCTTGCACTCTGATTTTTAAAAGTTTTTCCCATTTTCCATTATCTACTTATTATTTTAATTACCACATGGCATGCTATCTAGGGTTAACCATAACTTATTTAACCAGTTTCTTGATGTTTGACATTTAGTGTATCTACTAATTGTTGGAAGGGAGGGAGGGAGGGAGGAAGGAAAAGGAAGATGCTGGAATACTAAACCTTTTATGAATTCATCACATTTTGAACATTTCTCAATAAAAAATGGTAAATAAGTCATCAGATTTAAGTGAGAAAATTTTTTAAAAAGAGTGTTTGTATAAATCTTCAAGTATATTGTCCAACTGTTTACTTGTAATGTGTTTCTAGATCAGAACTAACACAAGGTGAGGGTAATTTGATGGGGTTTTTTTTACAGTCCCCTTTGTAGAAAATTAGTTAGGAATAACAGACTATTTCTTCTCATTCAATGAATTCATATGTTCAGGTATTTGAAAAAATTGGAAATCCAAGCCAGACAAGTCTACACTCAGTGGCTGACATGGGGAGGGTTCATTTGGAGAATGTGGATTTTAAAAATATTTTTTTTCTTTATTGACTTTAGAGAGAAAGGAAGGGAGAGGGAAAGAGAGAGAGAGAGAGAGATCAATGAGAGAGAACATTGATTGGCTGCCCCCTGCACGCCCCCCACTGGGGATCAGGCCCACAATCTGGGCATGTGTCCTGACCTGGAACCGAACCGGCGACCTCTTGGTGCATGGGTCCACACTCAACCACTGAGCCACACCGGCCGGGCTGCAGAATGTGGATTTTGCAAATAAGGCCACTACTTCACTCTTTAGAATTTCATCAAATCTATGACGACAAGGAGTTCAGAAGGCACCATTCCTAACTGGTGCTGGGAAGGAGCAAAGAATGCCAATTAAACAGTGATATGCCATCGGTTGTTAGAGGGTGGAAAAAATATGCTTAGATGTGAAAACAAATGGTGCTTCATGCTAAAATCCTAAATGTTACCAGTAAGAGCGAGGAGAGTGGCCTGAAATGTGTCGTCTTTGTGCCCACGTGGAATCCTCTGTGCAGTGGGCTCGTTTCCGTGGTTCACCGACTGACTGCTGCCCCTTTCTTCCCCATGTCGCTTTCCAGGTGTGGGGAGGACCTCAGCCGGGACCAGCACCAGCTCCTGGAAGGGATCTCCGAGCTGGACATCGAGACGGGAGGGATCCCCTCGCAGCTGCTGGTGCATGGGGCCCTGGCCTTCCCTCTGGGCTTAGATGCTTCACTCGGCTGCTTCCTGGCCGCTGCCCGCTATGGCCAGGGCCGGGTGGTCCTGGCTGCCCACGAGGGCTTGCTCTGTGCTCCCAAGATGGGGCCCTTTTTGCTCAATGCTGTGCGCTGGCTGGCTAGAGGCCAGGCAGGCAAAGTTGGGGTGAACACAAGTCTCCAAGACCTGTGTGCCCTACTGGCCCCGCACGGCCTGCAGTGCAGTCTGGAGCCCCACCTGACGTGTGGCCTGGCTGTCTACTGCTGTAACGCCTACAGTAACAGTCAGGCTCAGCAGCTGCAGGAGTTTGTGGCTGAGGGAGGGGGTTTGCTGATCGGGGGCCAGGCCTGGTGGTGGGCCTCCCAGAACCCAGGCTGCTCTGCCTTGGCTGGTTTCCCTGGTAACACCATCCTCAACTGCTTTGGCCTCAGCATCCTACCTCACACTCTCCAGCCCGGCCGATTCCCCGTCCCCACCCCCCAGATGCTGGGCTACCACTTCCGCAAGGCACTGTCCAAATTCCTGGCTGTCCTGAGAAAGGAGGTTGAGAACTTGGAAAAGAACTGGCTGGCAAAGCTGAGAGTCGAGGGGGCTGCCTTCCTGCAGATCCCTGCGCAGGGGGTCCCTGCGTACATGTGCCTGCACCGGCGCATCTGGAAGATGCTGCAGTGGTCCGGCATCCCAGCTGTGAGCCGGGAAAACCCCGTGGCCAGTGACTCCTCCCAGGCTGCAGTGCTGTGCCTCGCCACGGAGCTGGTCCGCGCTGGGACACACTGCCCCATGCCGGAGCCAGCAACCGGCCACCCAGCCGCAGAGCACCCCATCACTGTGGACATCGATGGAAGCAACCCAGGTACGGAGCGAGGGCAGAGTGCGGGGAGCTTGGCAGGACCCGGGAAGGTAGGGTGAGCGGGTGCTGAGGCCCAGGCAGGCACCCCATCCTCCATTAGCTGCCCTCCAGAAGAGGGGCTGCACCTGTGGAGGGGCTGGGCGGCTCCAGGTGGGGAGAGAACTTAGCCTTTCCCACGGCTGTTCTCAGGCACCCGTGAGTCCTGGGTGAGCACTGGGCTCTACGTCCCAAACGCGCAAACTGCAGAGGTCTCGCTGTCGGAGGCTGAGGCCTGTGCCGGCCTGAAGGTAAGGCCAGAACACCCGCTGCCCTCACCCCAAAACCTCGGGGCTGCTGAATTCTCATCCAGCGCACGGCAGTGCTACCAAGAGCCCGGGAAGGGAGCACCTGCCCATGTGACAGATTTCCCAGGGGAAGCAGCTAAATGGCAGGGGGCCTAAGGCAGTGGGGGCCGAGGCCAGAGTGGCAACATCAGACCCAGTACTCAGACGGAAGCCTGTGGCTTCCACACGCGGTGATTTTTGCCTCCCGACAGGAATGTGGAGGGACATCGAGTCCGAGAAGGAGGGCATCTATTCACCGGCACACCTGTTTCCCCTTCCACACCCCTTGCCCCATAGCACACTACCTTTCTGGGTTTCACCTCTTCACCTTGACACCTGAAGGGTACACTTAATTAATCCGGTCACTCACAAAAATAGTCCCGACAGGCAGAATTTAGATTCCTCCTTCCTTCCACAGTTAGGGGCTCTGTTGTGTCATCTGGCTCTTTGTGGAACTCACTTACATGAACCCTAAGAACAGCAAGTCCGGGACTCGAGACAAGAGTGCTCGGTCCATCAGACCAAGAGGGGACCCTGGCAAAGGAGAGACCCAGGCCTCCCCCTCAGGCCACATCCTGCCTGTGGTCAGGCCTCCTGTCCCTGCACAAACGGCAGGCGGAACCTCCCAGGCTCATCCCCAGCATCCAGCAACACACTGGTTGAGGATCCACAGAACCCGGGGTTCTTCCTGGTACAAAGGCACATGGGACCCTGGTCAGCACAGCCTCAGGAGCGATTCTAAGCCCTGGAAAAGTGATGCTTTGTGCCTTTCAGTCCATGCGACTTGACTTGGAATGCTGAAATAGCATAGGCTTCCATGCGTAGCTCACAGCAAAGGGGAGCTGGAGTTTGTCTTTTTTATTTTTCTATTACACTTGATGTACAATGTTATTTTGTATTAGTTTCAGGTGTGCAGCATAGTGGTTAGACAACCATATACTTTATACAGAGTGTTCCCCTCAGTAATTCAAATATCCATTTGTCACCATACATAGTTGTTACAATATTATTGACTGTATTCCCTAGGTTGTACTTGATATCCTCGTGACTATTTTGTAGCTACAGATTTGTACTTCTTAACCTCTTCAGCTATTTCACCCAGTCCCCCAACTTCCCTTTCTCCTCCGGCAACCATCAGTCTGTTCTCTGTATCTGAGTCTATTTCAATTTTGTTTGTTCTTTTATTTTGTTCTTCAGATGCCACACATAAGTGAAATCACATGGTATTTGTCTTACTCTGACTAACTCATTTCACTTAGTATATTACCTTCTAGGTCCATCCATGCTGTTACAAATGGTAAGAGTTCATTCTTTTTCATGGCTGAGTAATATTCCACCGTATATATGTACCACAGCTTTGTTAGCCACTCTTCTATTGGTAGGCACTTGGGTTGCTTCCATATCTAAGCTATCGTAAATAACGCTGCAAGGAACTCAGGGTGCATATATTTTTTCAATTTAGTACTTTGGGTTTCTTCAGATATATATGCAGATATATCCTGAAATGAAATCACTGGGTCATAGGGCAATTCCATTTTTAATTTTTTTTTTTTTTGGTATGTGCCCCTAGCAGGAGCTGAACTCAGGACTCTTGGTCTGCAGGCCAATGCTCTAACCGCTGAGCCAAATCGGCCAGGGCTCCATTTTTAATTTTTTGAGGAAACCCCATACTGTTTTCCACAATGGCTGCAGTCTGGGGAATTCACAGCCTGAATTCCCACTAACAGTGCACGAGGGTCCCCTTTTCTCCACATCCTCACCAGCACCAGTTGTTTGATGATTTATTGATGATAGCCATTCTGACAGGTGTGAGGTGATACCTCATTGTCGTTTTTATTTCTGTTTCTCTGATGATTAGTGACACTGAGCATGTTTCATATGTCTTTTGTCCATCTGTTTGTCCTCTTTGGAGAAGTATCTATTCAGGTCCTTTGCCTATTTTTTAATTGGATCGTTTGAGTTTTCTGCTGTTGAGTTGTATGAGTTCTTTATAGCTTTCAATAGTAAGCCCTTATCAGATGTATTGTTGGCCAGTATCTTTTCCCATTCAGTAAGTTGTCTTTTTGTTTTGTTGATGGTTTCCTTTGCTATGCAAAAGCTTTTTAGTTTGGTGTCATCCCATGTGTTTACCTTTTTCTTTGGTTTCCCTTGCCTGAGGAGAGAGATCAGAAAAAATATTGCTGTACATGGCTCTGGGACCAGCCCTTTCATGACTCCTACCAGTCTCCATGTGGGTTCTTCTGTAAACCCTTGTTGACAAGACTTCTATTCAACCAGTCTTTAGTTATCATTCAGGTCAACTGTTCTGGAACTTAGCTGTGATCCGATTTGGTTCTGGGAGGAGGTGTTCTGACACCCCTCACCCACGCAACCCCACACTCACAGCACAGCGACCTCGTTCCTCCCACACATAGTGGAATCACTTCTCCAGGTGCAGATTGGCTGCCACACTGATGACTTGACCAAAGCCAGCAAGCTGTGCCGAGCCCCTGTGGTGACCCACCAGTGCAGTATGGATGGGACCAGTCAGTCAGTCCGTTGCCTCTGGGGTGGCCTTCTCTACGTCATCGTGCCCAAAGGCAGTACACTGGGACCCATGTCCGTCACTGTTAAGAGGGCTGTGCCCGCCCCGTACTACAAGCTGGGTAAGTGGACTGAGCACTGAGGGGGGGGGGGGTGCTGAGGATGCTGCTGTAGTCAGGGGCTGGTTGCTCAGGAGGACAGGAATAAGGACAGGGGGACAGAAGGAGGGAGAGCTGTTCGGGGTTGAAGGAGAGACAGGAGAAACAGCACCTGTGTCTGTGGAGACCCGAGTAGAACCAAAGGAAGGGTCTGGAGGCCTGTCCTTCCCTTCCTAGAATGCAGACCCTCATGACTCTAGTTCATTTGCAATGTGCCCCTGGAGTTCAAGGTGTGTTCTTCAGCTCAAGAGCAGTCGGAGACGGGGTTGACGGAACTGTGTACTTATTCCCAGGTAAGACATCCCTAGCAGAGTGGAAGAACTCTGTCCGGGAGAGCCCGGCTCCATGGGGAGAGCTGGCAACGGACAACATCATCCTGACGGTGCCGACCTCAGACCTGCGGGCCCTGGAGGACCCTGAGCCTGTGCTCCGCCTCTGGGAGGAGATGATGCGGGCGATCACCAGGCTGGCGGCCCAGCCCTTCCCGGTCCCCCGGCCCGAGAGGATTGTGGCCGACGTGCAGATCTCCGCTGGTGGGTGCTCCAGGGCCGGGCTCTAGTCAGTGGACACCATTTGTGGGTTTGCCTTTCTTTTAATGCCCAATATGAGTCAGGTATACTTTTACCACGAAAGGCAGAAAGCCATAAAAGACAGGGACCTTGATGGGATGCAAAGATGTTTACCTGTGAGAAGGTACATCACCTGCGCCTCCGAGGTGAGATTTCACAGGATGGGTAGAACCATCTCGGAAAAGAACGGTACCAGGTGACAAGGAGAGGTGAAAAGGGAAAGATTTCCTTTGGGCAGAAGTCAGAGTTGGCAAAGGGGGAGTAGAGTTTTATATTAAGTACCGAGTGGCTTAGAGGAAAGAGGGGAATCTAAAGAAAAAATAAGGAAGTCTGGTTCTGATGTGGAAAAAAGTCCTCTGCACCCCAGTTTTCTTATCTTTACAAAGGACAAGAGTCCCTCGGTTAAAGAGTATGCATCCGGACAGCAGTGATTTGCATGGGGGAAGAGATGACGCTGTCCTAGCCGGAGGATCTCAAAGTCAGCAGGACTTGGTGTCCCAGCCTCACGCGCATGGGTGACACCCCCAAACGGAGCTCTGAAGTGTGGCGAGAATGACTGTAGCGTACTCCTAGTTCTCAGAGTCAGAGTGAGGAGGGGGCACACCTCCCGTGTGCGAGGCTGGGCGGGGGGGAGGGCTCCAGGCTCTGACCGAGTCAGGAAAGCCATCTTTCCAGTGAGCTCAGAGGTTCTGCAGGGACGGGCCGCAGCCGGAACGGTGAGGGAATGACAGTGGAAAGGAATGGAGGGAGATGAGCTTGGGTGCCCCCTCATGCCTCACCTCTTCCTTTTGGGTTCCCAGGCTGGATGCATGCAGGGTACCCCATCATGTGCCACCTGGAGTCGGTGCAGGAGCTCATCAATGAGACCTCCATGAGAAGCAGTGGGCTGTGGGGACCCATCCACGAGTTGGGCCACAACCAGCAGCAGCATGGGTGGGAGTTCCCCCCACACACCACCGAGGCCACCTGCAACCTCTGGTCAGTCTATGTGCATGAGACGGTCCTGGGTATCCCCAGGGCTCGGGCCCACCCTTCTCTGAGCCCTCCGGAACGAGAGAAGAGGATCAAAGAGCACCTGGGGAAGGGAGCGCCCCTGTGTGACTGGAACGTGTGGACAGCTCTGGAAACATATTTACAGGTACTGAGCAGAGATCCAGGCAGGGGGGCATCAGACCCCTCTGTCATGCAACGCCCTTCACCAGCCCCACCAGCCTGGGCCCCCCGCCTCCCCTGGGCGTGGGAGACTGGGCCATATGGTGACGTTCTCAGCTGCCACATTTCTAGGTGGAGAGAGTGAGACCCGTCCCACTCGCCTGCTGTGACTTTGCAATCATTAGTAAGAGGAAATGGAAAAACTAATGAGAGAGAAATACGGCCTCATGGTACGTTGGCCAAGAGCGGAAGTTCTGAGTTAGGCATTCTTGAGAATGAATCACAGCTCTCCCGTCCAACTGGTGTTGACCTCGGTCCCCTCAGAAATGCTCCAGAAATGGTCATTGTTCTGTTTTGCTTTGTTCTGTGGGTCAAGTGAGTGCTAGGTCCCTTCACAGTGACAGTGATGTGTCTATGGGACAGCGGCGAGAAGGCAGGAGACCAGTCTGTTACGATGCTCAGACTTCTGTCTCCCCGGCTGAACCCAAAATGTTTTAAGAATGAATGAATAACTAACCAACTAACCGAGTGGGGAAAAGCCTTGAACTAGGTCCACTTCCTGTGACGTAAACACAAGTCCCTGCCCCCCCCCCCCCCGAATCCCGCTGGGGACTGTAATGTTGGGAGCGGTCAAAGCCGGTCTCCGTATGGGTCTCCTCCGCCGTCGACCTCTACCCTGGAGGTGGGAGCGGACGCGCACTGGCCACAGAGGCACGTACTAAGTCGGGGAGTCCAAGCAGCCTGCCCAATGTCACACATTCAAAGGACGGGCCAGCGCCTAACATCAGAAGTCAATGACGGGACCCTCCTTTTTATTTTCTCCTTCCCTCGTTTTCTAAAGGGTGAATGTCAATGAAATCGCGTCGTGTTGCACCCATTCTTCGTCCTCATGTAGCCAGTCTGAGGGGCTACAAGGAAACAGACCTTAAATGGTAGGAGGCTGCCACCGAAGTGGAGAGTGAAGGCCCCTCTGCCCTCCCCTCCCCCACCCTCCCCGTGGAGCCCTGACTCACTGTGCAAAGGCCGTGGGAAGTTATCCTCTTGGAGCCTGAGCCTCGGGACCGGCGGACACCTGCTTCCTCTACCTGCTCCCCCTCACTCCTGCCACCCTGGTCTCAGCTCAGGTCCTCCTCACTCTTCCTGGTCGATTCCAGAAGCCTCCTAAATTGTTCCAGCATCTTGCCTCTACGCCTACAACCCATCTCCCAAAACAGTCTTAATATTCCGCACGTAACAATGTAACACACTCCGAGCGCTTTCCTTCCCTACAGGAGGAAGTGGGAGCTACTTAGCAGAGTGTAGGGGGCCCCTTATCATCAGGTTATCACCAGCAGCCCTGCCTTTGCCGCCCAGTGTCCTCACCTCCATAACTGTCCTCCAGGGCCCCAGGCTGCTTCCTGCCATGAGCAGACCTGGCTGCTCCGGGCTCCTGTGCCTCCCCATGCTTCCTTCCTGCGGCTGCATCTTGCGTGGACATCTTGTCTATTACCTGTCAAATCATCGGTCACAGCTGCGCTCTCTTGGCCTCTTCTCCCCGTGTCATCCAGAATGACACGAGGGTTTCTCCTCACACTCGGGCTCAACCCTGTCTGATGCCTAGGAGAGCCGTTAGGATCCGGGGATCTCGCTTTTTAATACGAAAGAGAGTGATTATGAAGGTCATGTATTGAATATTTACCTCTTCTCAGCTATTAGGTCCCATGAAGTCCCCTAGTAGATTCAGGGGGTGGAGGTTTTGTGACCAGGAGGTGGAATGAGCCAATGCTACTGTATTCATGTGCAGGGGCGGGGGGGGGGGGCACGGGAACAGGTGAGGAGTAAAGCTAATGGCTGATTAAGGCGCAGTAACTGAAGTCCTCCTCTTTACTAGGAGCGAGCATGTTGCTGTTGCTTTTGGAAGTCTCATGCCGCCTGCTGCCCCTTCTTCCTCTTCCCAGCTCCAGGAGGCCTTCGGGTGGGAGCCATTCACCCGGCTCTTTGCTGAGTACCAGACCCTCTCCGACATCCCCCAAGACAACGCGGGCAAGATGAATCTGTGGGTGAAGAAGTTCTCCGAAAAAGTGCAGAAGAACCTGGCTCCGTTCTTCAAGGCCTGGGGCTGGCCCGTCCGGAAGGCAGTGGCCGAGAGCCTGGCCCGTCTGCCCCGGTGGGAGGGGAACCCCCTGCGGGCCTACATCCAGCTGGAGGAGTGAAACACGAGTTGCTGGGGGCCAGGAATGGCCGCTCGCCTCCCGTCCCACCTTCCCCTGTCTACAGGCTGCCCCCTGCTCCTGGATCATCCCTCCCCCGTCCGGTCTTCCCCCCACTTCACAGTGAAGAGCTAGCTGGTGTTCGGACTTCCTCCCTGGTGAAACAAATGAGCAAAACTCCAACCAATCCTTGTCTATAATGATAGTCTCAGATGGGAAGAATCATAATACATCACTTATATATACCCCCGGAAATTAGAACACTCCTTGTTTTCCCTGTTAAGTATTCAATGACCTGTAAGCCGACCTCAAGCTGGAAAAAATGGTCTGAAATCTTTTGGAAATGTGAACAATTGTATCTGTTAGCTAAATATCAGTAAAATAATCAGCACTGTGCAGCGTTGCATTTAATAAAGTAAGATTCTGTCCTATGGAGGAGGGACACCATGTCCATGTGCCATTTGGGCCCCACAAAAAGATAACAAATACAGGGCCAGCAGGGGGCTCTGGCTCCTCTCCCTGCAAGTCAGGCAAAGGCACTTACGAAAAGGCACTCTATGACCTCCTGGTGGCCTTGCGGGGAGGGATGGTACTTCGCTCTCTTTTTTTTTTTTTTGGTACGTGCCCCTAGCAGGAACCAAACCTGGGACTCTCTGGTCCACAGGCTGACGCTCCAACCGCTGAGCCAAACCAGCCAGGGCGTGGTACTTCTCAATAAGACAGATTCGAGTATCTGTCTTTTTAAGGTTTTCTTCTCCTTCAGGTTTGAACTTCAAGGCCATTTCCTTGGGCTTGGTCCCCTGCCTCACACTCTTACGCATTTCCCTTAGGTGTCAGTCACCACATGTCATTATTTGTTCAGTGTTTTCCGTCCCCACCGCATGGGAACTTCGTAAGGGCCGGCACGTGTCTGTCTGATTTACAGCTGGTGGCAGAGCCCCCGGCACAGGTCCTGCCACACACAAGCTTCGCTGTGGGTCTCGAATGAATCCAGAGATGCCCAGTACGACTGTAATACAGGGAAAGAGGAGGTGAGGATTGCCAACTGCTACACCTGTTGGCTCCCTTTAAAAGACCTCTGTTCTTCACCCCTATTCAGGACCATGCTTTCCTTATTCCGGAGGCGTTGGGGTGATTCTAACCACTCCGTTTCTGTCATCTGAATGCAGGCTGCCTGAGTGAGAATACACGTTCTATCAACTCTCTTTCCCCTCCTCTCAGGGAAGTCTGGTCGGAGAACACTACAAGTTATTTTCAGAAGTTTCTTCTATGCTTTTGGGGAACAATTGAGTATTTCTCCGAATTTTCACCTCCTGAAATGTCGTGGGCCCTATTTGTACTACATGTCTATGTCCATTCCTCTCCTCTATTAATTAACATGTCCAAGCCAATTTAACTCTCATAAAGACACCTTTCTTTTGAATGAACAGTTCTCGTACTCTTTCATGTCATTCGGCTCTGGAACAGAGATTCATCACGCCGTAAGAATCATGCCAAATTAAGACCAAATACTAGTAGTAATAATTCAGATCCTCTCAGATGGCTTTCCGCCTTCAGAACAAGACAGTTGGGGTGGCTCTCGGTAGCAACTGTACATAAGTACTTGCTCTGATCCGTTAGTCTCCGTTTCTGCAGGAGACAATTTCCAATATTTGTCCTACTCGAACCCTGCTCAGAGTTTCCGATGGTAAGAAGCTATTCTCTTAGCCCCTAGGACATCTTAATTGACTGTCGAAAGAATTTCAGCCTCCTAGGCTAGACCAGGAGCTTTGAACAGAAGCCCGAGCTTTCTGAGTATTACTGACATCAATCTCTGATATGCTCATTAAAACCCCCAAGCACGACTTAGCGGCATGTCCCGGCGTGCCAACACGTGGTCGGCCAAGGCGTGCGACGCGGTCAGGGTTTCTAAAGAAAGGCAGCCACGTTTCAGCTGCCTCCGTCCCTGCCCTTGTCCCTGTCACCAGGTTTTGGGGACTATGCTGATAAAGCACCCATGTTCTTTCATTTTTTTTTTTTTATCCTCATCTGAGAACATTTTTCCCTTTTTTGTTCAGATAGAGTGGGAGGGAGACAGAGAAAGAGAGAGAGAGAGAGAAACATTGACATGAAAGGGACACATGAGTGGCTGCCTCTCACATGACCCAACCAGGGCTGGGGACAAACTACAACCAAGGTACGTGTCCTTAGCGGGAACCGAACCCGGGACTCTCTGAACTGCAGGCTGATGCTCTAACCACAGAGCCAAACTGGCCAGGGTGCGCATGCTCTTTTAAAGCCTGGGGTGCTTCCCAGGTGTAACAGGAAGAGAGTTTGGTGCCCATACTTGACCGACAGGAGAGCCTACATTTTGTACACATAACTCTCTCTACTGACTCACCTTTTGATTGGGCAAGCAGTGAAAACACCTTTTTTCATTGAAAAAAAAAAAAAAAATTAGATATCACCTCTAAGCTCCTGAAGATGATGGAAGGAGAAAGTGCTACTGTAAAATGTTAAGCACAGATAAGGACATAGCGGGGTGAGGACAAAAGTTAGAATTGCATTTGCTAAGCATCCGTCCAGCCAGAGACCCAGAGGACAAAGGAATTGGGTGGGTGGGCACCCAAGACAGATGCAGAGAAAGACGTTCTCACCTTGGGGCAAAGCCTTCTAATTACCATTTCAGACGCCCTAATGCTCACATCAGGGGGATAACACCCAAAGTCAACATTCAGTAAGAAGGACACTACTTGAAAAAACAAATTTTTTTGCTAGTTTTCCAACAAATTTATGAAAACTGCTTGGATTAATTATCCTATCATGAAGAATATCCTGAAGAGCCCTGGGGGGTGGCTCAGTTGGTTGGAACATCATCCCGTACACCAAAAGGTTGCAGGTTTGATTCCCAGTCAGGGCACATACCTGGGTTACAGTACCTTTTCCATGTTTATATATATTTAGATACACAAATACTTACCATTGTGTTACAGTTGCCTGCCTTATTCAGCACAGTAATATTCCGTGCAGGTTTGTAGTGCAGAAGCATAGGCTATATGTATGGTAGGCTACACCACCTGGATTTGTGTAAGTGCAGTCTATCATGTTCCCACGACAAAATAGCCTAAGGACAAATTTATCAGAAGGTATCCCTGTTCTTAAGCAGGGCATAACTCTTAATTTCTACCTTGAAGGAACCTTCCACATTGTAGATTCTGAGGTCACCTGTGTTGCTCGTTGTCTCCCCCTTGTGGCCACTTAGAAAACCTTAGTGCTCCTCAACCAACAGTTTTCAAAATGATAGAGAAAATAATTTTTCCCCCTGAGATTATGGTTTCTGTCAGCCATTTAAGGCAAGAGTTGTCTTGTAACATCATTATCTTGGAAAATGACGACAAACCAAAGACAAAGATCCCAAAGAATATAGCTCAAGAATGGAGATGCAGTAATACTCCATGCTCCTGGTCAACTCCCAGACTTTTTTGTTTCCTCAATCAATAAATTGCTTCCTTTTGATTCAACCAGTTTGAGTTGAATTTATTTCACCTGCCATCAGAAAAATCTAACTAAAACATTTCCCACCTTCCTCAAGTCCTCTGACGTTTGCTGTTTGACCCCTGTCCTGTCTCATGGAGGACTCTCCCCGAGCAGACCCTCCGGGCTTCAGTCTCACTCCTCACAGTCAGTGGGCCCCACCTGAGTCATGACAGTGAGAACACAGCCCGTTTCCCACTGATGGTGAAGGTAATAGAGTCAGTGGTTACCCAGGTCTCCGCCTCTGGAATCCTTGATTCTGAAAGCATACAATCTCTCGTTTATTTGTTTTTAAATTTTCATTTATTGATTAATTTTGAGAGAGAGAGAGAGAGAGAGACATTGATTCATTCTTCCACTCATTTATGCCTTCATTGGTTGATTCTTTAAAAAAAAAATTTCTTTATTGATTTTAGAGAGGAAGGGAGAGGGAGAGAGAGATAGAAACATCGATGAGAGAAAACATTGACTGGCTGCCTCCTGCATGCCCCCCACTGGGGATCAGGCCCGCAACCTGGGCATGTGCCCTGACCGGGAATCCAGCCGGCGACCTCTTGGTGCGGGGGTTGACGCTCAACCACTGAGCCACACCAGCCAGGCAGGTTGATTCTTGTATATGTGCTCTGACCAGGAATCGAACCCACAACCTTGGCAGATTGGACAATGCGCTAATCAACTGAGCTACCCAGCCAGGGCACACTCTTGTTTTTGAAGAAACTTTTGGATAGAGAGAAAAGAATTGATCATAAACAAAGAATTTGGGTGGTTTTTTTTTCTTCCAGCTTTGGAAAGACAGGAGTCGGAATTACCAATGGGTATGTGTTTCTTCTTTTTTAAGTCTCAGTTGAATGACCTCTGCATACGGCCTGTAGCCATACCTCCTGTGCTTTATTTAATACTTCCCTGCACATTTGTACTTCACCCTTGTTTAATGTTTAAGGCACCTCTCAGAGCTTTATCCCTGACACATATCACTGTGCCTGGCACATCAAACGTTTTCCATAGGTATTTGTGTACTCAGGAAACGTGTACAAAACTGATGAAGGGTTCCCAACTCCTGTCCCCCTGGAATATGCTATAGAAGCCTGTGATATTTACTGAAATTCAAAGACATTCTCCCATTAATCCAGAAGGAGTTTCAGAATGACTTTAATCTTCCCTCCATTTTTTTTAACCTTATACCTGACCATACAATTTTGGGTCATATTGGTGGTCAGATTGGATGGAAGGACACTTTCCTCCTCACCCCTTTAAATATTAAAGATTCAGTACTTAGGAGAATGTTTTTAGAAACATTTTTGTGGGGAGGGTGATGGAAACTTTCAAAGGAAATAACCAGTTTTTATTTCAATCTTTTAGGCCCTGCCACTTCACGGTCTCTGTCCTCACCTCTTCCCACACCTGTTTCTTGTCTCCCCTTCTTTGAACTTCAGCCAGCAATCATTTTTTGAGGGTTTTCTTTTCTCTGAAGGATCAGTTTTCCTGGCCCTGCTGTATGTTACGATGTTCTAGAACAAGGGCACTCCCCCAAGTCAGGGTGATCCCCACATCTCTGTCACCAACCAAAATAACTTGAGTCCTTTCCTGTCTGTCCTCAAGATGGCGCACTAAACACACGCGCCAGCCTCTTCGAGTCCTGACTCGAAATGACTGGAAAGACGAGGTCTTTTCTGAAACTAACACAGCAACGAAAACCAGAAGGCAGGCTCCTTCTGAAAGACCCAGGGAGCTGGTACCACGTGGTTGAAGAAAACCAAGATCCTGCCTCCTGCCATGAGCTTTCCGAGTAGGCACGGCCACGGGAGTTCCCCAAGTCCAGGGGACGTGGATTGGGGGGACAAGAAAACCTCAAGAATGCAAAG